GCTTACCGTGTGAAAGGACCTTTATGCTGCGCACTGTGACTCACAGCAATGGTCCCGGGTCAGCCCTGACTTTGTGTTAAACTAATCCTAAAGTAATAATGTTATTTCTAATCACTGATATACCACAACTTTATCCTTTCAACAGCTAATGAAAGTTAGGGGACCTAGCTTCTATCGGATATTTATATAGAGATCCTCCAGCTTCAAACTGTATCACCCTTCAAGGACCTGAAGCTCCATAAAGCGCCCCTCCGACAGCCAAACCCATCTGTTCTCCGATTGAATAGTTAATTTTGTGATTGACATGACATTGACCAATCAGATGAAAGGAAAAAAATAGGCTCAAAATTTGTAGTTGAGTGCAGAGTTTCACATGTATTTTTTGGCTAAGTCCACATACAATCTTTTTTACACATACAAATCCTAATTTAAAAGTACAAAAACTGATTTACAAGTACAAAATATTTATGACCACAATTTGAGCCCATAGTCTTTTCTCTGGCTGGCTGGACCCTCAGCTTCCATGCCAGAATCTGCCACACAACTTCGCGCTGGTCCCTGGGGTACGGCAAAACTTGTAACCCTTAGTCCGGCTCCCAAAAAAGATGCTCGAGTTGTTCTTGTGTCTAAAAAAAAAAAGTTTACTATGTTTTATGTTTCATTTTACTCTGGGCTGTGCTGAACAAAGTGAGTCAGCACAATTTAAATTCCAAAAAATTATTGGTTGTTTAAATGACCGGCATCGGACATGGCTAGCCTGTCACCAGGGACCCGGTGGGTGGTAAGAGGTAAAAAAAATACTATACTGTCAACAAACAACTCTTGGTTTGTATTTTTTCAGAATTAATTGTGTTCCATCTTATGCACTTGAGTACACGATGTTGGATTTTTGCGATGAAATTACACGCACATATAAACAACGGACTCGTTCCCGGTGGGTGATGGGCTCTGCCAGGGCTGCCCTTTGTCACCGGTTCTGTTCATAATTTTTATGGACAGGATTTCTAGGCGCAGCCAAGTGGCGGAGGGCTTTCACTTTGGTGGCCTCAGAATCTCATCTCTGCTTTTTACGGATGATGTGGTTCTGTTGGCTTCATCGGGTGAGGGCCTCCAGCTCGCACTGGAGCGGTTCGCAGCCGAGTGTGAAGCAGCGGGAATGAGGATCAGCACCTCCAAATCTGAGGCCATGGTTCTCAGCCGGAAAAGGGTGGAGTGCCCACTCCGGGTTGGGGATGAGTTCCTGCCCCAAGTGGAGGAGGTCAAGTATCTCTGGGTCTTGTTCGCGAGTTATGGGAGAAGGGAGCCGGAGATCGACAGACGGATTGGGGCTGCGGCTGCAGTAATGCAGACGCTGCACCGGTCCGTCGTGGTGAAGAGGGAGCTGAGTGTAAAAGCGAAGCTCTCAATTTACCGGTCGATCTACGTCCCTACCCTCACCTATGGCCACGAGCTGTGGGTAGTGACCGAAAGAACGAGATCGCGGATACAAGCGGCAGAAATGAGCTTCCTCCGAAGGGTGGCTGGCCTCTCCCTTAGAGATAGGGTGAGAAGTTCGGCCATCCAGGAGGGGCTCAGAGTTAGAGCAGCTGCTGCTCCACATCGAAAGGAGCCGGCTGAGGTGGTTCGGGCATCTGACAAGGATGCCTCCTGGGCGCCTCCTGGGTGAGGTATTCTGGGCATGTCCCTCCGGGAGGAGGCCCCGGGGCAGACCCAGGAGACGCTGGAGAGATTATATCTCTCGGCTGGCCTGGGAACGCCTTGGTGTTCCCCCGGATAAGCTGGAGGAGGTGGCTGGGGGTGGTCTGGGCCTCTCTGCTTAGGCTGCTGCCCCCGCAACCTGGCCTAGGATAAAGCGGATGAAGATGGATGGATATAAACAGTATGGAGAAGATAACTTGGCATTCGTTAGGGAGGAGCTCATTGAGTGTAAGTATAGAGAGGAGGAATTCCGACCGTGATTTCTCATTCATGTACTCTGCATTGTGCATCGTATTGAGACTGTATATATATGTCCTTGTACCATGATTATTTCTTTTCAGAATAAAGGGCTAAGAAAGAAAATATTTAAGTTGAGTTAAGTGGTAAAAAAAAATTCTTCATAGACACTGGAGTTTTTGGAAAACTTTGGAACGTTGGGATGTTCTTTTTTTTGTTAGATGTTCAGTATAGTAAGCCATGTAAATAATAAATCTTTGATATAATATATATTTTGTCACTACTTATTTTTTTTAAATGAATTGAAAAAATCAATGTGAAGCGTTGTTTGGGAAGCTAAAGAGTGAGCTCTTTTCAGTGGGCTGAGCCATAAGAGAGCTTGAATTATCATCATTACTGCTTCGGTTCACACCAGAGAACTCTGAGTTTATTTAAAAATAATAATATGATAAGTTAACATACATGTCTGTGTTTTCATATATGAGATAACATTTCCTGGGTTGCCAATTTTTTTTTTTTCGGGTTTTTTGTCCAGCTCTAGTGAAGTTCACCTCGATGATTACTACTTAAGAATTAAAACATAGATGTGCAACATGTCAAGACTGATTCTTTCTAAGCCCTAGTTTGGCTCGCAAAGGAGTACATTTACACCAAGTGTCAGATTTTGGCTGACATTTAAATGGATTTATGATAAGGGACTCATTAAATAAAAGCGGAAACATTTAAACACATTGAGGAAGCTCGTCAACAGGAAGCTTCTCAGACAAACAAATTCCTGTAATAAAATTACCCAGTCATGTGGTCTGCCATTCTGTGTATTATCACCTCTTGCAATAGCTGCAGCAGTCACATTTGTGGTTGTGTTTATTTGGTTTAAATGACTGATTAACTGATTAACTTGCATTAATGCAGTTATAGCATTAACATCAATTTAATGAGATTAACGCTGACAGCACTACTTAAAAATAATCAATTTGCACCCTGATGAGACTGAGCTAAAACTTTTCAACGTTTCAGTGTTCTCATAGCGGGTTTGTGATAGGAGAGCACGACTCAGGAGAGGGATAAAAAAAGCAAAGAGTTTTTAATTAGGGAAAATATAACAAAACAAAAATTTGATACAGACAAACAAAGAAGAAGTTCATGAGCATGGCAACATTAACTCATAAAGCAAAATACTGGAAAGCTGAGGCACAACAATAATGCAGAAGACAGGAAATGATGACATAAGCTGCTTAAAATACTATATACCTAATGAGAGAATGAGGAAAGTGGAAAAAAATCAATTTTATTTATAAAGTGAAAAATAACAACTATGGTCACCTCAAGGCACCTTACATTGTAAGGTAGACCCTACAATAATAAACAGGTTACTATGTAAGTGGAGGGACAGGTGAGGTGAATCTAGAGAAAGGTAGGTGGGAGTGGCAGCAACTAAAATGACAGCAGAGTGCATGATGGGAATATAAAAAGCAGACTGACTGAATAAAGAAAGACAGAAAACCAAAAGCATCACAGGTCTGTTTGCTTTAACATTAAAAGATCTAAACAGAGAAAAGTCTCATTGTTTCATCAACGACAGCAGTATTATTGTAATTCTTTCTTTTAATACTTTAAGTACATTTTCCTAATTTTAACAATTTCATTCTTCTAAAATTTTTCCTGTTTCCTATTTTATTTTCACTACAGAAGTAGTGTGCCTTCTCCATAAACATTACTTCTGTATCATTAACTGTAAAATTAAAATGAACACAAATACAAATCAGCTTGATGCGTCACACAAAGAGGTGCAGAAACGTCCCACACAACCACAACTACATCATTGCGCACACATACAAAGAGAGGGATGGATGAAATGCAGTACTTAACTCGATAAATCCAATAACAATATTTAAGGAGCTAACCTGAATGCTACAGCTCAAATTAAGTTATCTTATTTTTGAAAGGAGGATAGCATAGAATAGCATAGAGAATCATTCACTTTGGCAAACATGCCACACAGGTCAGTCATGTGGAGCAGCATAACATGTGATGGAAAAGTCCTGTTCGCTCTCATCGCTCTTCAACTGCTGTACAAGTATTTTTGCAACATCTACCACACAGAAAAGCACACTGCTCCATCTGCTGGCTGTTTAATGACTTTTCACCAAAACCCTTCAGGCAGGGAACAACTCTCATGAAACCATCCTGCCTAAAGAAGTGAAGAAAAAAAAGAAAGTAATGCTCATTTTTTAAATGAGCATTTTTTGGGGGGTCCCATTTAAGCCATACTATGATCTCTGAGTGATTTAGTCAGCCTTTCATAAACATACATGAACGCTCTAATCAAATTCAGAGCACTCAAATTCAGTCGCACTGCATTACATCACAGTATTTGTTGAAATGTTACATGGTGCCTGATATTGTGTAATCCTTTGCTTTCTTAAAGACATTTGCTGCAAAAACAAATACAAAAATATACAACATCTGTTTAGTAATTCATTAGGATGCATAAGTACAGTTTTTGAGAAGGAAAATTTCCTGCAGTCCCAGAGTGCAGCTTAATGGCCGTTTTCCCAACACTCAAACCTATATCATTTGGCTCTGATAGAAAATAAATCTACCTAAATCAGTCAACATCATGTAGAAAGCTCTGTGTCTTCATGCTTCCTCTTTACACACTGAATGAAGAACTGAAGCAGATGGCACTGAAATCCAAAAAGTGACATCAAAGATGGATATGAAGAGCTTTTTAACTCTTCAAAACAAACAACACATTGTCACATTGATTTAACTCAACATTAAAACAAAACAAAAGAAGAAATGAAACAACAGATAAGACAATAATAAAGAATGAATGCTTTTCTTGAGTTTTTCCCCCTTTCTAGTAACCCAACGCTGAAAGGATTTTACTTTTTTTTTTCACTTATCCAGTTTTAATGGCTAAAAATACATTTTTAAGAAAGTATTAAAGATAACATTACTGAGCACTTCCCGTTTTCAGCAGTCAGAGCCAAAGTCTGTACATGCCATGTAAATTACATTATATTTATGTTATAGTAACAAAGACAACACTGGACCATATGATAAAATATGTTAAATACTTAAATAAGATGAATTCACCAACAATTGAACATAATGGATAGTCATTTTTTATTGATTAAACCAAAACATTGCAATATGCAAAAACCCCCAAACAAAACCCTTTTTGGAATGGATGAATGGACCGGTGGCGAACAGATAAAAATAGTCTAACCTTTAACTATTTTTCACATAGATTCACATTGAATTTTTCTGTTTCTGGTTTCCTGTTTTCTCGACAGTTCAGAAGCCCAGACTCTGTAAGTTCTTAGTTTTCCAAAAATAAACTGTTAAATTGTTTCTGGTGTCTGAGTCGTGCATTTGGGTTCATATTTACTGGGATTATGACAGAGTGATCTGCCCAAACATTAGCTGTACACACAGCTGTTACACATCAGTGTTGTGAAGTACTAGCAGAGTCACAGGTTGTTAGTTGAGCACTGATGTCCAGACCAGCTGAACAGTGCTACACAAAGACAGAAATGCACTTCTGCACTGAAACTGACCCAAGCATTGCCTGAGCACAAATCCAATGATTACCAAAACCAGTTCATTGTAGAGTTTAAAAAGGTTTTTGATTTTGCTCTCTAAGAGGGTGAGGCTGCTAAATGCCTCTTTAATTCACAGCAGCTTAGTGGAATTTAAATTTGAATGCCATGTTCAGGTAGTGGGGAACAAAAGGTTTTGCACTGAACATTTTTGCATTATGCTGTAACTACCCTGGCAGTGAAAACTGATAACTATACATGGAAAGGCCAGAGAAAGACACTCCTATTGCGTGCATTTCCATTTCCTCTTTGCCTTTCCAACTCTCCAGGAGAACATTTAGATTACCCGATGCAGATCGGCAGTGTTAAACTTACCCTGGAGAAGCCAAAAGAAAATGCCCACCAGCATGAATGGGAATACTGGTTTGTGGTTCCAGTGCTGCATTTTAGACATCTGGGAACTCAGATGTTGGAACTTGGACTGATGTGTATCTGGAGTGATGCAGCATAACACTTCTAAAAAACACGTTAACGGATAGAGCCTGATCAATGCTCTGCGTATGGCTTATTTAGTGAGACAAAATACAGAACAATGGTAGTTCAGATTCAAAGTTTACAGTTTTAATTCTGTTTAGATTCAGTGCTGCCATCTTGACCTGTTAGTTCAGGGGGCGTTCCACAAAAACAATTTGGAAGCAGAACTTCAGAAATGCAACTGACAAAATCAAACTAAAGCTCACACAGCGTAGCAGCATGCAAATACTTTAGGAACATAATAACTTAAAATATACTTTTAAAAAAAGCGACAGTATGTTGAGGTTTTAAGTTTTAGTTTTGCAGAACAGCATCTGTTGTTGTGTAAAACTAGTTCTTTTTTTGGAGTGCTGCAATTTCTCACTTACTCATTTAGTCACATTTGCCATGAACACAGTTAATCATCTGAAAACAGCCGTGTAAAGTTAGCATGGAAAATAGGACATAAAAAAGCCATGGAATGGGATTTTAGTTGTTTTACTTCACTGAACTGTAGGCAGTGAAAATGACACATTTACAGGCACCATGTGTGTATTTCTATGTTAATGTAAAATTATTTCACAACAGTTCTCATTTTTTCTTCACCTCAGCGTAGAGTTCCTCTTGGCCATGAGCCCTTTGTTTTAAGCTTTTTTCTCGCTTTTTGATCTGTGCGTACACCGTATGCTGCTGCTGTCCACTGTCCCGCACTGAGTTAGACGATGCATCATATGCCAGTGTGGAGAAGCTGATCTCTCCATAATGGATGTTTTCTTCCTCTTCTTCCTTTTTACTTGCTGGTTCATCAACCTTCTGCTCTTCATCTATTTGAATCTATAGAGTTAAAAAACAGAAAGCTCGGTGAATTAGATTCATTCTTATTCATGTTTTATTAAATAAATAGACTGCTCTGATGAAGTTACTGCTGTAATCGCCAAAACATTCAAGTAACCCTGCAGCTAGAATTTTTTTTTCTTTGTAATTTCCTTACCAGAATCTGTTGTTGAGTTTGTTGCTTTGACTTTAACGACCTGGAAGACACAAGAGGCAGTAAATAATTATCTCTGTGTATGTTAAATATATGTGAACAAAGTTAAGCTTGAAACAGAAATTTTTAATGTGTAGCTAAAATATCTGTGAGAGTAGCTAATTGTGTTTTTCTGCTTTGATGTGTGATACTTACCAAACAAAGATGATCAAGCAGAGGAGAATTATAAGTAAGAGAACAATGATCCCAATGATTACTCCAGGAAGTAGCCACAGTGTGTCTCCTAAAGAAAAACAAAGGTTACTACCTGAAGTTATTTTTAAAGTTTGGAGTTTGAATGGATAAAAAGAAACAGGAGCATGTAACACATGAGTGGCTTTTACCTCCAACAGTCACGTTAATCTCTGCTGATGTCTGATTACCCAGATCATTAGTGGCCACACAGTAATAAACTCCTCCATCTGTTACATTGAAGCTGTAAATCTCTCCTTCAGATACTTTCACAGCTCCATCTCTGCTCTTCTTGAACCAGGTGAAGTTGCTGACTGGAGGTTTGGCTCTGCTGGAGCAGGTCAGGTTCACCCAGCTGCCTGCTGACACCAAACCTGATGGACTGATGGATGCTGAGGTGTTTTTAGGAGCATCTGGAGAAAAAGATTGACAGAAATCACCATTATTCATTCTAAACAGTGGACCTCCCAATGAATCAAATGCTATGTTGACAGGATCCAACTACAAATTCTGATTTTCTTACATGAAACACTGAGAGTCTCTTCTGTCTCTGCTGTCTTGGTGTCTTTTCCTTGGTTCACAGGATATCTGGCAGAGCAGCTGATCTTCTTTCCATCATGTGTGTCTGACAGAGTGATGTTCTGTTGGATTTTAGTTGTAAAGCTTCCAACTGTGTTTTCCTCTATTTTGTTGTGAGAGTCTTGTTGGAGATTCCAGGTGAGTTGAGGAGAGGAGTGTGGACAGGGAGTGAGAGCTGAGCAGGTTATAGTGACAGACTCCTTCTCCTTCAGATCACCTGGGATTGTAATATTGGGCCTCCAAGGAGAATCTGTGGTTTCACATCACAGACATATTAACACTACAGAGCACACTGCAGTTTATACCAGTGTTTAAAATCTCTAAACCACTCATCTTATCTTAAATTTACATATAACTTTATTAATTTCATAAAGTCTTCATTTATTGAGTATTTATTTATTAAAGTATTTTTTTTAGCTTAATAATAAAACATTCGACCAATATTAAACTGTATTCTGGGACAATCATTATGACTGAAATGTAATATTTCTTCAACAAATGCTGATGAAACTTAACTGAGGCAAGTCAAATAAACCCAATAAAGTAAAAATATAATTCTAATAAAAAACTCAAAATCACTCACCTCTGACTGTTATTTGAAGAGGATCACAAGAAGCTGTTGCCTTGAATGGTTCTCTCTCTACTCTGAAGAAGTATGTGTCTGTGTATGTGGTGGTTAAATTAGAAAACAGAGTGGTGCAGTCTCTCTGACTCAGGTTCCCAGTAATACTCATTGGATAGATGTTAACTGCTCCACTACTGTTGAAGATCACATTGTTTTGATTACCGTCAAATTGGGATTGATTTTTAATCCACACTCCAAAGGTTTTTCTTGTGCTGTTATATTTCTGTTCGTCTTTGGGTCTGAAGCTACATGGGATTTGCAAACAAGATCCACTCAGTGCTTCCAGCTTCTTTGATGCATTTATGAAGACTGCTGCTTCATCAGGACATTTAGCCAAAGCACCTGTAAACACAGTGTCACAACTAACCTATTAATTAATTAATTTTATTACAATCATTAACTTGTCTTATTTTAATTTGTCCTCCATAGGACTTAAGATATAAACTTTAATCAAAGTACTCCTAAAATTAAATAATTGTTTATGTAAAATTAAATTTATAATAGATCATCCAGAAGTGACAGTCACATTTTCACCATCTGCCCTTTTTGATTAATGATGCTAAATTACATAGTTGTTGCTTGAAATATAATCTATTGTAACATGAACAACATGTCTTTGATTCTGTTGGTAACAAAAAGTATTTCAATTACCTGTCAGACTATGAACAGTATGAAAAAACAAAGCTTTATCTCCATCAGCCTTTTAACTTTGTTCCTTAAAGCTGATAATGATTTAAATCAATCCAATAATGCCTTTATAGTGAACAAACAGCTCACCTGAAACAAAGAGGACCATCAGTAACATGCCGACTATCACCATGTTCACACACAGCTCAGGAGAGGTTTTTACAGTGAACATAATTTCTTAACCAGAATTACAGGGGAACACATCGCCTAACTGTTGTTAGAATAAGGAAGCACAGAAGAGGACATACTGTTTAAGAAAGTGCAATGTCAGTTTGCTTGATCGTATTTGCTATAGGTGTTGAGAAATATTCTGCGGAAGTACAATCAGTTTGCTAATATCCTGTGATAGAGGAAGTCAGGCGATAGATTTTTAAAGTTTAAAATTACCTGTCAAAATAACCCACACACGCAAATACTTTTCACTACAGTTTTTTTTAATTGATTTGGTACTATTTTCATAACTAAAGTGTGCATTTTCAAATCTCTCAGTACAAAACTCACATTTGATCACATTTGTAACACCACTAGTCATTCTTTCAAATCTGATGTCATGAGTTCATTGTATTTGCGCATATTTTCATTCCACTTAATCATTGTTGCAGAACATATGATCATTGTGATATATTCTGAGAACATTTGCTTTAATCACCCAAACAAAACAGTGAGATCTTTTTTCAACTTAGTACTTATACCAATCATTTCAGTCAGGAGCAAATAATACAAGGTAAGCGTTTCAAATTGTCCTTGGTGATGAATGAGTGTAACTGAACTGTAAAACTTTACACAGCAAATATTACACTTATGTTCAGGCATAACAAAAAAAAAAAAAAAAAAAAAAATATATATATATATATATTATATATATATATATATATATATATATATATATATATATAAAAACACCCAGCACGCCCCTGCGGGCGGTTTATCCTTCAAGCTCGGGTCCTCTACCAGAGGCCTGGGAGCTTGAGGGTCCTGCGCAGTATCTTAGCTGTTCCCAGGACTGCGCTCTTCTGGACAGAGATCTCCGATGTTGTTCCCGGGATCTGCTGGAGCCACTCGCCTAGCTTGGGAGTCACCGCACCTAGTGTTCCGATTACCACGGGGACCACTGTTACCTTCACCCTCCACATCCTCTCGAGCTCTTCTCTGAGACCTTGGTATTTCTCCAGCTTCTCGTGTTCCTTCTTCCTGATATTGCTGTCATTCGGAACCGCTACATCGATCACTACGGCCGTCTTCTTCTGTTTGTCTACTACCACTATGTTCGGTTGGTTAGCCACCACCATTTTGTCCGTCTGTGTCTGGAAGTCCCACAGGATCTTAGCTCGGTCATTCTCCACCACCCTTGGGGGCATCTCCCATTTTGACCTCGGGACTTCCAGGTTATACTCGGCACAGATGTTCCTGTACACTATGCCGGCCACTTGGTTATGGCGTTCCATGTATGCCTTGCCTGCTAGCATCTTGCACCCTGCTGTTATGTGCTGGATTGTCTCTGGGGCATCTTTACACAGCCTGCACCTGGGGTCTTGCCTGGTGTGATAGACCCCAGCCTCTATGGATCTTGTACTCAGAGCTTGTTCTTGTGCTGCCATGATTAGTGCCTCTGTGCTGTCTTTCAGTCCAGCTTTGTCCAGCCACTGGTAGGATTTCTGGATATCAGCCACCTCCTCTATCTGCCGGTGGTACATACCGTGCAGGGGCCTGTCCTTCCATGATGGTTCCTCGTCTCCCTCCTCTTTCTTGGGTTTCTGCTGCCTGAGGTATTCACTGAGCACTCAGACAGTTGGGGCCGTCTTCCAAATGTATTCTTGGATGTTCGTTGTCTCATCCTGGACTGTGGTGCTGACACTCACCAGTCCCCGGCCCCCCTCCTTCCACTTAGTGTACAGCCTCAGGGTGCTGGACTTGGGGTGAAACCCTCCATGCATGGTAAGGAGCTTTCTTGTCTTTATGTCAGTGGCTTCTATCTCCTCCTTTGGCCAGCCTATTACCCCAGCAGGGTACCTGATCACGGGCAGGGCGTACGTGTTGATGGCCCGGATCTTGTTCTTACCGTTCAGCTGACTCCTCAGGACTTGCCTGACCCTCTGCAGGTACTTGGTGGTTGCAGCCTTTCTATCGGCCTCTTCATGGTTCCCATTTACCTGCAGGATCCCCAGGTACTTGTAACTGTCCTCTATGTCTGCAATGTTGCCTTCTGGTAGTTCAATCCCCTCAGTTCTGACTACCTTCCCTCTCTTTGTTAGCATTCGACTACACTTCTCCGGTCCGAATGACATTCCAGTGTCATTGCTGTATAGCCTGGTAGTGTGGATCAGTGAATCGATGTCTCGTTCACTCTTGGCATACAGCTTGATGTCATCCATGTACAGGAGGTGGCTGACAACTGCTCCGTTCCGCAGTCGGTATCTGTAGCCAGTCTTGTTAATGATCTCACTGAGGGGGTTCAGGCCTATGCAGAACAGCAGTGGGGACAGAGCATCTCCTTGGTAGATCCCGCACTTAATGGTGACTTGTGCTATGGGCTTGGAGTTGGCCTCTAGTGTTGTACGCCACATCCCCATTGAGTTCCTGATGAAGGCTCTTAGGGTCCCATTGATCTTGTACAATTCTAAGCATTCCAGTATCCAGCTGTGGGGCATTGAGTCATAGGCCTTCACAGGTTGGTCAGTCTGGTCTTGCAGTCTCAGCTGACTGTTCTGTCTACCAGTAGCTGGTGTTTTGCGCCTCTGGTATTCTTGCCAATCCCTTTCTGTGCCCCACTCATGTATTGACCCATGTGCCTGTTCATCTTAGCCGATATGATGCCTGACAGGAGCTTCCATGTAGTACTGAGGCAGGTTATTGGTCGGTAGTTGGATGGGACCGGTCCCTTCTGGGGGTCCTTGAGGATCAGGACCGTTCGACCTTCGGTTAGCCATTCCAGGTGTCTCCTGTTAACTAGCAGCTGGTTCATTTGTGCTGCCAGACGCTCGTGGAGTGCAGTCAGCTTCTTCAGCCAGTAGGCGTGAACCATGTCGGGCCCTGGTGCAGGGTTTTAATAGTTTTGCAATTTTCATTAGTTTTTATTTTTATTTAGTTTTGACTTCAGATTTTCAATTTTATATCAGTTTTAATTAGTTTTTACCAATTGTTTGCTAGTTTAGTTTAGTTTTTATTTTTTTGAAAATCCTTAGTTTCAGTTTAGTTTTGATTAGTTTCAGTTATAGTTTTAGTTGTGTTTGCAATAATTAACTGTAACAAAATCCCAGTTTCATTATATCAGTCATTCTCTTCTGCTTATCCTTGGGTATGTTGCTATTCCAGCTACCATACCCTGCACCCTGTACAGGTCGCCTGTCTGTCGCAGGGCTAACACGCAGAGACAGACAACTCACATTCCCACCTATGGGTTCTTTAAATAAATAAATAAATAAAGGCAGATGAACAACCATTGATACCAGGCAACTATAAAATGTATATCTTGGCTCCAATGAGACTATTAACTCTTGCAGCACCGGGTGTTCATAATTTTGGTTCAAGTGAATTGATAAACTTTTTGAAGACAATTGACTCACACAGTTATGTAGATATCCCAGTCCTGTTGTCTCGGGATGCATCACGCTGCCTTGCCTGGGGTTAGCGTCTGTTTTTGGGGATGAGGGTTGAGTGTGCTCCCTTACCTTCTCAAGGTAAGCTAAGTTAGCCTTCTTGTGCGAGCTTTTCAAGCGCACTTTAAGGTTTGTGGGATTTTTTGCCCTTTAGAAATGTCCCTCATAATTTGTCTCTTTCCACTACAAGACACTTGCTTTATCCAAAACACAGTCATATTCAAAGTAATCCCAAATTGGACTCTGGCGCTTTCTCCCGACTTTTCCTGACATGATTCTGCGCTTGGACGGCGCAGCAACACAGACGACTCAACTAACGTACTGGCCACCTGCTGGCATAATGAGACAGCAAGAAAAAAATCTGGAAACTAAACTTCATTTTCACCTTTGACTATTGTATGACACGCACACATCAATGAAAACTAAACGCATTTTTGATATAAATTCAGTTAATTTTAGTTAGTTTTGTGAACACTCATTACAGTTTTAGTTAGTTTTCCTTTTTTTGTTTTTATTTTTATTTCCGTTAACGAAAATGTTTTTTCACTTCTAGTTTTCGTTATTTCGTTAGTTTTCGTTAACGATAATAACCTTGCCCTGGTGCTGTCCAACTCTTCATACTGGAGACCCTTTCTTGGATATCTGCCATTGTGATGGTTACTGGACCCTGTTCAGGGAGGTCGCTATCGTCTGCCCTCAGATCCACTAGCCACTGAGCATTGCCGTTATGGGTTGCATCCTTCTCCCATATGCTCTTCCAGTATTGCTCCGTCTCCAGCCTTGGTGGTGCTGTTCTCTTATTGTTCCCTTGCCACTGAGAGTACACCTTTGCTGGTTCTGTGGAGAACAGCTGGTTTATTCTCCTGCCTTCTATCTCTCTGGTGTACCTTCTCAAGCAGCTGGCCAAGGCTGTGAGTCTTTGCTTGGCAGTTTTCAAGGCCTCAGGTATGGACAGTTTGCTGTATTTCTTATGCACCTTCTTTGCCGCACCTTTCTGCAACTCCGTTAGTTGGCTAACCTCCTACTTTGATCTTGCCCTCTAGCCTCCTTCTCCATGGAGGGTACTGCCCCTTGTGGCTGTTCAAGGCTCACTGATCACTGCTGCCGTATTGTACATCAGCTTGTTAGTGTCGGTAATCGTGGTTGTAGGTATCGTCCATAGTGCTGCATTAACATCATCTAGCAGACCTTCTGAGGGTACTTCACGTAATCTTGGTAACCGGCTACGGGGGATCCAGGTTTCTTTTTTTTTTTTTTTTTTTAATGACATCAGAAACAGCAGTATGCGACATTACGTGATGGCAGAGCTTCAGTTCATCCTTTGTCTTTTTTTTTTTTTTTTTTTTTTTTTTTTAATAAATAGGACAGGGGAATGAATGAGAGAAAGAGGGGGAGAGAAAGAAAGAAAACCAAAGGGGAGAAGGGGGGGGAAGAGAGAGAGAAAAAAAAAAAAGAACTCCTGGGTCACCTGTATGGAGAAAAAAACAAAAAAAAACAAAAAAAACAAACAGAGGAGACAGCAAACAACAAAGAGCAACATAATAATAGAGAAAACAAAGCACCATCACAATAAACTAGCTAGCCATAGATATCAATAT